TCACAACCACCAAACCCACCGGTTAACTGGAATCAAGTTGCACCTCCACGTCGCATTGATGAACCAGGGGACGTGACATCCCAACCATGTCGTCATGTCAGAGAATGGCTTGCACAGCAGGAAGCTCATCAGAATCTCTTTATGACCTCAGAGGGATCACTTCAGCTCCTTGATGCACAAGAAACTCCACCCCCTGATTGGCATGCAATACCACGTTCTCTACCCAGTCTACAGCGTTTCGTGAAGTTTAGATGCCGAGACAGAGAGGGGGAAGATGCACCAAGTCAAGTTGCGGATCCATACAATCCATTGGTACCACTAGCCGACCTGGCAGCAGGACAAGCTGCAATGGGGATCGCGGAGCAACAAGGACCTCACACCTCTACTGACGCATGTCCACGCTCAGCCTCCCCACACACCTCAGATATGAGCCTCACTGATGGATATTCTACGGACTCCATACATCAATATAGTCCAACCACGCCGGATCCAAGACCACAGGCTCCAATGCCACTGCCATGGGAATCTCCCACAGTTCATTCTCCTCAACAGCCAAGCGATGACGACGCACCACACGATGAGCAACACAACTTCCCGGAGGAGATACGACCCCTTAGACGAAGTGCACGAATCCTGGCCTATTCCCTTGCCACATCTACAACCCAACAAACACCTGATGATTCCACATCTACAACACAACAAGCACCTGATGATTCTACATCTACAACACCACACACACCTAATGATTCTGCATCTCCAACACCACAAGCACCAGATGATTCCACTCCAGGGAACGTTTCCCCAGCCACCACTGATGGGGATCCTGATTATTGGGGTAAGATGCCCCTGCAAGAGTTCAACCAACTCCTGAGTGAGATGCAGCCTGCTCAAATCGCCGCCCGTAGGAAAGACAGACGCCGAGCTTTGGGCCGCATAGCAACAAGACTCCGTCAGCAGACGGGACAACTTCGCAGAGCACCAGCCAAGCAACACGACCTTCAACTCCTGAGAGAATGTTGTAACACCCTACAAACCCGCTGTGAACAACTGCAGACACGCTGTGAGCAACTGGAGAAACGCTGTGAGCAACTGGAAACAGCAATGTACATCGTCCAAATGAAGTAACTGTTCCTCTAGGGATGGACATTTTAGTCTCATCACTGGAAGTTTTATATATATATATTTGTTTGTTATATGTAGTCGATTTATGCTTGCACAACATATTATAGCAAAAAAACAGCTCACGCACATAATCATTTCATGCACAGAAGTTTTGAGCTTGCTTAAACTTATGATAGCCAAAAAACAGCACACGCCAAAGTAACTAGTACACATGTTTATATAAGGTCCTGGATCCTTGTGCACACATGTACACATGTTGAACCGCTGAGTCTCGGGCGGTAGGCACTCTAATGTCAATGATTCCCCTTGACCAGAACAAGGACATATTTGATTTACATTTTTCTTATTTCTCATATTAAGATACAAGTGCTTCTTGGATCCGGATGCAGACATGTGTTGAACCAAAGATCATGGGTGGTACTTTTATTGTCACCTAATCCACACTTAACATGGCCTTGAAACTTAAGTTTCAGTGACACCCCATGATTCAAAAGCACTACTTCACTTAGTATATTGCCAAAATGCTGCACAACACAAGTCAAGTTGGAGGATCCACGTATTCAGCTCATTAGTGTGCTATCTACGTGTTGAACCAGTAATCACGGGATAGTAGGTCCCATTTATCTGTGCATTACAGTGTAGGTGACTGAATGTGCGGCCTCACAGCCGCAAAGGAGGGAAGTGTTGAATAAGGCCTAAATCAAAATCCTAAATCAAAATCATGTAGGCCTAAAGATCATGTGAATAAGGCCTAGGCCTAACTCATGTGGGCCTGAGGATCATGTAGGCCTAAAGCCTAGATTGATTGCATAAGGCCTAAATCCTAGATTGATTGTTAGGTTCTTTTTCTATATTTATACACATTATCAATGGTTTGCAATATGTTATATCTACTGAGTGTTTTACTACTGAGTATTCTTTTAGTGTGAAGTCTGACTGCTGAGTGTTTAAACTACTGAGTGTTTTACTACTGAGTGCTTACTACTGAGTGTATACCTACTGAGTGTTTAAAGAGTGAGTTTAAACTCATATTTTATTCTTATATTCTGTGTGTTTATCATACATTATTCCTATACTCTGTGTATTCATGAACGTGTGCTTTTTAATGAGCAGAGGAGCTGCTCAGGCCGCGCAGGCAAAACCTAGCCAACCGTAACCCGCTCATTAGAAGCAAGGCACATGCAGTAAGTCACGTACGCCAGGGCTGAGATCATCGCGAACTGAAGCCAAGAATGAGATCATGACATGTTGTGATTTATGGCGCCTGGTACGGCTAGGTACTGCATGCAACCAAGCTCTGCGCTGCTGAAAGTTAACTTGTATGAGACAAAGCACCCTCATGGTTGGCATTGCTAAATCATGTAATTGTTCATTGAATCACGTTATACATGTATGAAATATGTTATTCCTTATTAATTCTTTTAAAAAATACGATTGTAAGTGTTTAAGTTTTAATGGTGTCAAACTATGCCTGTATAACTTTTAAAAAATACGGTGGGACTGAAGTTGAAACATATTGGTGGATTTTCTAATCCAGTAATGTAAAAAATATAAAGAGAGATAAATGGTAACAATAATTACATATAATAACAGCTAAAAAGTGGAAAATGTAACATCAATAAAAGGGTTAATTTGGTAAAACAGTACAAGAAAAAGGCCACTAGATGACAGTAGAGGATAAGAAATCCACCAAAGGGGAGGAATGGTCAGCGAACACCATAGGTGGAGTTAAGATGTAACGCCCACCTGAAGGGAGGGACAAGGTGGAGCTTAAGGTGAATATAAGGCGATGTTCGCTGACCACCAACTCGGTTCCATCCTGAGACCTGCAGGGATGTTGCTCGGGTTTATCTGTCCTTTATTGGAATAAACTCTTTTGCACCGACTCTTGACCGTCTCCAGTGAAGTTTTTGACTACGCCGTCTTTTGACTAAAGAAGAAATCTAATAGAGTAATTTTATTGAGTTTATTACGTTGGTTAGGGTAGGGACCAGGTCTTTTACTGGCCCGGCCGGTCCTTATTTCCGACCCGACACCTGCTTCCAGGTACTTTTTTTTGTATCACCTCACCTCTGTCGAGTTTCCAAGCGAGCTGAGGGATACTAAAATGTAACGTGAAAACACGACAGACTGCTGACTGGTCAGAGAGAATATTCTTGAAAAACGAGTTCAGGAGCTCCGCAAGTGGCTGTGGGGGAAGCCTGCGCCAACCTGCGGGAGGCGCGTGTGAGATCAGCCAGCCGCCCGCTCACAGAGCCCTCTGCTCCTGCCGTCACACAGACCGCTGCAGCAACAACGGCAGAGGAAAACACAGCTGGAAGGTTTTCATACCGCTTATCTGTCTTTACATTCTGAGGAATGTTGAAACGTTTTAACTTAAAAAAGAGAAAGCTTTGTGTGTGTGTCAAGTTGAACGTCGCGGCAGTTGTGTGTGTGGCGCTGCTATGACGACAAGCTACGTACTATCTCTGGGTGCTACCTGCAGTGGAAAACGGAGCAGGGCCGAGTAGAGTCGAGTCTATCGATTTGCGCTATGGTAGCATTTTCCGGCAAGGCAGCATAGATCGTCAGAACACCGGCAACAGTTCAATCTTTAGTACTAAAAGATGATGCAACTCCGACTCTGTTTGGGCCTGGAAATTCACAATCACAACCTGTAAGTATGCTTTATTGGTTGTGAATTATATTTAAAATAAACACGGCAATGTAACTTCACAGACTGTTCAAGTGCGGAGTTGTTGTAAACGTTGGCTAACACAGCTATAACTATAATGCTAATGTTACACCTGATGTGAAAGCTACTGAGCAAACGTTCAAATTGTTTGGCCAACTTTTATGTAAAATAGAGTTGAAATATGGTGATTTTTGTAGTGGTTTATTGTAAGATGTGGAACAATGATGTGTGGTTGTGGACTTGAGAGTAACTTACGGTCGCAGTCTGAAGCGGCTTTGATTTCGATCACACTACCTTGTTTCTTACGACCCGCCCTTCTCTGCTTCTGATTGGCTAGTAGTCCTTACCTGGGAACTGCGCATGTGCAACTCCCAACAAAGATTTTGTACAAGTAAGATGCATCACTCTGTAGCTCAAGAGCGGAGCGTACAACACAGGGTGAAAAGAGGAGCTGCAGCAATGTGCAGTACGAGAAAAATATGGTGTTTTCTGAAAATTAAACCTGTTCTGGTACAACCCCTAAATAAGATTTTGAACCTGAAAATGAGCATAATACCACCTCTTTAACTTATATGAAATATGATATGTTGTGATAAAGTTATGGCTGGTACATGCACAACCTACGCAGCTCATTATTTTTCTATCTAACTGTTTTGCTTCTCCCACATGAGCAGTTGTGCTTGCTAATGAATCCATATGCAGTATTAGCCTACGTATCATTCAGCTATTGTTCATAAAATTGTCACAGTTTGAGTGTTATTTCCTGTTTTGTTCTTGTTTGGGCATGGTGTGATTTTGGTTTCAGTATTATCTGTCTCTTGTCCTTGACTCTGCCCTGACATGTCTCACATTTGCTTACCCTGCATGCCTCAGTGTGTTGTTCTGTGGCACTATTTAAGCCCTCAGTTCTGTTCAGTCTTTTTTGCATCCTCGTTGTATGTTGAATGTTCCGCTTGTTTTCATGTTCCTAAATTATTCTGTTGCCCTGTTTCGATCATCTGCCCTGTTTGGACTTTGTTGCGTTGCAGGAATGTTACCTTTCTTTTAACTCCAACCAACCGGCGTAAACCTGTTTAGTTTTATTTAAATATATACCACATCCTGTTTGCCTGTGTCTGCATCACCTCTGTTTTTCTGCCTTTGTTCTTGGCAATTTCTGAAACAAATATAGCAACAGTTAGTTTAAATTCTCCATTCTACTTACTTTTGATGAGGACACTAACTGGTGCAGCCGTGGGAGAAGTGTATTTCCGTGTAGACCATGTGACTTCATACACACAGCTGTAGTTGCCCTGGTGTTCGTACTCAGCAGCAGGGAAGTTAAAGGAGGCTGAGTGGTTGACTGCTGGCTTGGGGTCAGTGATGTTGGAGCCAGAGAAGATGAGGAAGAAAACACCAGTGGGATAGTGGGAGGAAGTGGAGCAGGTGAGGACAAAGCTGTCACCCCTGGTGACCTCTGAACCTCTGTTAGGAGACGTCAGGGAGATGCTGGGCGGCTGCAGTCTCACTGGGTAAAAAAGGGACAACAGAATAAAGAATATAAAATTCATGGATTTTTAAATATAAAATGATGGTAACATGTAATTTGCTTGTGATTTAGTCAAACTAAACTAACTATAAACTGAAACTTGAACACTTGTCTGATACTGACACTGGTATGATCCTTTGTTCTCAAAATCAACTTGCAAGATGCTGAAGGTAGTAGAGTTGGTACTTGATGTTTGGGTCTTTCTGAATGTGTGGTGGCTCATCCTTCCCAGTCCCTAGTTTGTCCTATTTGTTTCTCCCCTTCCCTGTGTGTCTGTTTGTCTACTGTCTGTCGATGTGGTTTGTGGGCGTGTCTGCAGGCCACCGGGCAGGTGTTCCTAAGCAAGAGTTCCTGGAGCTTCCAACACACCTGAAGTCAATCTTCTAATCACCACTGCTGATTTATACCCGGCTCATTCCTCCAGTATTCGCCAGATCGTCTGTTCACCTGTGTGGTAAACTGCTCGTCAAGCCAAACACTCTGCTAGTGGTTTTTTTCTTTATTCGTGTCACCAACATCTGTGTTTTTTGTCCCAGGGGATCGCTGCTCGTCCACCTGCCTTAGCTTTTTTGTGGATTTCGCTGCCCGTCTACCTGCCTGCAGCCACCTCGGAGCAGAATCCTCAACCCTCATTCAGTCAATAAAGCCTCTGTTTGTCATGCTCTGCCGGTCAGCCATTCTTTGTGTTGCACTTTTGAGTTTAGTATCTGCCTTATAGTATGTTGGGTTTTGGGGGTCTGTCTTGTCTTTAGTCTAGTGTTCGGTAACTCTTGTCATGTCTGTTATCCCAATGATCCCTCTGCATGTCTGTCTTTGTTTTCTCTCTCTCTCTCCCTGCCTGTGCCTCGTTAGCCTCATGTCTTTCACCTGTGTTGCTCCCGCCCTGCTTGTTAGTCCCTGTGTATATATACCTGGTGTTTCTGTCTTGTCCTTGTCGGGTCATTGTATGTTGTCACCCTGTGTAGCAGTGTGTTTCGTGTCATCGTGTCTCCCTGTTTCCCTGCCCGTTATTGGATTTTGTATTTCTGTTGGACAGCCCTTGTTTTTGGACTCAGTCTATCAGCCACTCTGTAAGTGTGCTCGCTTTTTGTTATATTAAAACCACTGAACTATACCTGCTCCGCTCTGTGTCCTGCGTTTGGGTCACCACAAAACCGTGACACTGTTGTTTTGCCCTATCCGTGTGTCTGCTCCTGGATCTTTTTTGCTCCGCATAACAGAATGAGCCTGAGGTCTGTTGCAGGAGCAATGTTCCACCTAAATGTTGGGGTTAGATCAAACAACTGATCCCAGCATTCTGACCCCAGGTAACCTCACCAAGAGGATTCATGGAGATGCTGGGTTTTGGGAGACTAACTGGAGAAAAAAAAACAACAAATGACTGACTAGCTGCTGGCTGTGTTGTTATATTAAATGGACAGCTATGAGATGAGTATCAGTCTTATCTAACTCAATATAAAAACAAAATTGTTTATTTCTCAACATGTTGAACTATTTCTTTAAACAAGTGAATGAAACAGATTAATTTCCTTACCAGTAACAGAGAGTCTGACAGAGTCACTTAAAGGGGAGCTGAAGTCTCGACTGGAAACACTTGTCTCATACTGACACTGGTACGATCCTTCGTTATCAAAGTTCACTTTAGGTATAATGAAGGTAGCAGAGTTGGTACTTGATGTTTGGGTCTTTCTGAAGGAGCTGGAGGTTTTCATCAGGAGGAATGTTCCACCTAAATGCTGAGTTGAGATCAAACAAGTGATGCTGACGTCCTGACCCCAGGTAACCTCACCAGCAGGATTCATGGAGATGCTGGGCTTTGGAAGTCTCACTGAAAAACAACACAATATTAGAGCAGTAAATGGACTGACTTTGAGTTACACGTTTTTCTGCTTTTTTAGTTTGCTAAATTTTCTTTATGCCAAAGGAATAGTTCACCATTAAGGGAAATGAGCCTTTTAAGTTTTTCGATCCCCTCTGGTTACCTTCAGTAAGTTACTGCTGTTTCCTTGTTTCCAGTCTTTGTGCTAAGCTACGCTGACTAGCTGCTGGCTGTGGCTTCATATTTAAAGGACAGCTATGAGATAAGTATCAATCACTCATCTAACTCTCAACATGAAAATGAATTATTTCATTTTTATTTTCTTTCCCAACATGTTGAACTATTTCTTTAAATAAGTGAATAAAACAGATTAATTTCCTTACCAGTAACAGAGAGTCTGACAGAGTCACTTAAAGGGGAGCTGAAGTCTCGACTTGAAACACTTGTCTCATACTGACACTGGTACGATCCTTCGTTATCAAAGTTCACTTTAGGTATAATGAAGGTAGCAGAGTTGGTACTTGATGTTTGGTTCGTTCTGAAGGAGCTGGAGGTTTTCATCAGGATGAATGTTCCACCTAAATGCTGAGTTGAGATCAAACAAGTGATGCTGACGTCCTGACCCCAGGTAACCTCACCAGCAGGATTCATGGAGATGCTGGGCTTTGGAAGTCTCACTGAAAAACAACACAATATTAGAGCAGTAAATGGACTGAATTTGAGTTACACGTTTTTCTGCTTTTTTAGTTTGCTAAATTTCCTTTATGCCAAAGGAATAGTTCACCATTAAGGGAAATAAGCCTTTTAAGGTTTTCGGTCCCCTCTGGTTACCTTCAGTAAGTTACTGCTGTTTCCTTGTTTCCAGTCTTTATGCTAAGCTACGCTGACTAGCTGCTGGCTGTGGCTTCATATTTAAAGGACAGCTATGAGATGAGGATCAATCACTCATCGAACTCTCAACATGAAAATGAATTATTTCATTTTTATTTTCTTTCCCAACATGTTGAACTATTTCTTTAAATAAGTGAATGAAACAGATTCATTTCCTTACCAGTAACAGAGAGTCTGACAGAGTCACTTAAAGGGGAGCTGACATTTTTCTGATACTGACACTGGTACGATCCTTCGTTATCAAAGTTCACTTTAGGTATAATGAAGGTAGCAGAGTTGGTACTTGATGTTTGGGTCTTTCTGAATGAGCCTGAGGTCTGCTGCAGGAGGAATGTTCCGTCTAAAGGAACCTGTATTGAGATGGAACAAGTGATGCTGACGTCCTGACCCCAGGTAACCTCACCAGCAGGATTCATGGAGATGCTGGGCTTTGAGAGGCTCTCTGAAAAAATAACACAACAATAAAATATTAAATGTGTTACACTTTGATTCTGGCTATACATAACATTGTTGTTCTGTCCTTTTTCAATAAGTGTGTAGTAGTAAGGCAGTTTAATGAATTTGTGATACACACACTGTAAAAATAGTACTAACTCATTAGAAGCTTTAAAGACTTTACAATATTATTCTCTAACTGTAAAAATTATATTAGGCATGGCAAATTTAAGTATAGTAAATGAATGATACCACCCTTTCTACACAACCTCAAACTTCTTGGTTCATAGGCAATAAGAAGATCTAAAAGATAGTTTGGCCCCAAGCCATTTAAGAGTTTTGTAGACCAAAACTAATTTTAAAATCAACTCTCCAGCATAGTGGAAGCCAGCCTGAGAACCGGTGAGATGTGTTCAAATTATTTTGTTTTTGTGTGCATTTTTACACACTGTAGCTGAAGTCTTTCTTTGGGTGGGCTGCTATAAAGACCATTTCAGTAATCTAACCTACTACAGATGAAAGCATATGTTTTTAAGATGGTAATATGCTGACTAATGAGTTAACGTGGTATCCAAAATGTATCCAAAATCAGCATTTAAGATACCCAATCTGGCAGTTCATTAGCAGTTACCTCCCTTGTAACAAAGCAAAGACTGACATCACAGGGCCCAAGGTCGCCACTTTTAAAGCCAGTCAAAGCCCCTCCCACTAGGCTTAATAATTACATGAGAAAATACAATAAATCCATTTTCATGATTCTCAGAGGATAATTCTTAGCACATTTGGTGATCGCCTGACTTTCCTTCTAGCATGATCAGCAGGTTGACATTTGTGGTTCAGAAGGAGACCTTGGATGGATTACCATGCAATATGGTGGTCTTTGTGAAGCTCATCAGGTGAAAACCTATTTGTCAAAGACTATTTATCAGTCAATTTGTTTTTCTTTTCAATGAGCATAACAGCCTCACAGAGCCACTAGCATGGCTGTAAATTTTTGTAGAAAATTCCTGCTCATGTGTATGGGCCATGATTTGAGGAATGTGTTCCTTTTTGCAACCTAACCAACCACTATATAATGTGACCAGAGGGGGCAAAAAGTCAGCAGAAGAGAAAATAGCTCTGAACAGCTCTACAGCTGTGTGTCCCAAAACTTTAATTAAGCCAGATTTGTCCGGTTCCTTGACCAAAGTGGGCCGACGGAGAGACATTCAGTGCTGCACAATCAGAAATATAAAACACATTTGGCAGAAGTTGTGATTCATATATATTCTTTTCATCGCCTATACAGACTAAATATAAAACACTGCATTTACAGTTTCATTTAATTTGTATTAAATAACATTTTACTCTTGTTTTCCTGCTCTTCAATTCCAAAAGCACTGAGCAGGGTGTGGTTACCAGCTCTAATCTAGTACTACATGTGAACAGCATTACATCACACACCACAATGACTAAGTGTCAGTGCTGTACCACAGCCCAACTGTATGCACACCACCTCAGCGTCATTAAAGTTCCAGTCATCATCACAGACTGTTCCCCAGGCAGCGTTGTAATAGATTTAAATTCTTCCAGATCACTGAGTAGACCCGGACCCAGCTAGACATAACATAGAATATTTTAAACACAAAGCAAACTAACATTACTGTACGCGTGACACAGGAGAATGAACTGACCTGCAGCAGGTGAAGAAGCGGTCAGGAGGAAAAAGACTGTGGAACAGAAGAAATGACATGGCTCATTACATTCAGTAAACTGAAAAGTGCAGAATTAAAGTTCGCCTTGTTTTAGTTTCCCATGTTTATTTCAATGATAGGAAGTTTTTTAAATGGAAAAATTGGCCTTAAGAGACTTCTGTTCTATACAATACAACAACCCTGCTGTACAAAAAAGCTGCCTTTCAAATTAAATTTTGGAAAATCTTTCTTACCAAGGGCCAAATAGCGAAGGTTCCTCTGCTGTATGCTCCCCATAGCTGACATGATGGCTGCTCTGTGTCAATTATCAGTACCAACACAGATGAACCCTGGTGCACAAAAACATTACACACAGCTTGTCCTTCCTGAAATACTTCCTGTTTCTGGTGTTTTTTTAGTTCTAAAAGTCAGTAACTCTAAACCACCAACCAAAATCTGCAGCACTGAAGCACCACATCTATGACTAGTTCTGGATCTTGAAAAGGTTGTTGATCACCACAAAGATCCAAATGCTGCCTGCTTTATCTCCTCCTGATATGTTTCCATTTTGTGCATAAGGGGAACAAAACTCACCTTTAAATCCATGCACTGTACTGACCTATTACCTCTGTAAATGTATTCACAATTTGTTGTTATGGCATCTAATTGTTTACATAATAATTAAGAGTCTAGGTCTTTTTCCAACTGTGAACAGTGTAAGTGAAAGGAGTAGGTACCTCGCTGAGAAGTTGGATGTGTCAAGCCTGATGCCTGCAGCTCTTTCGCCAAGTGAGAAGCTGAAATCAGAATAGCCACCACCAAATTTAAGGGGCACATTCTGTCACAGTGTTGGGTTATGCAAGGGCACTGCCTTCATATTTTTTTCCATCAACCATGTGACCGGTCAAAACTGACCAGGTCTGAAAGAATGTTTACAACGTATAAATTAGCAGCCAATTCTGTGTTACACATTTTAGGCAACTTCATTCCAGCTCACTACCTCAAGTTTTACACTTTTTGAAATTGATGGTCAATTTAGAATGCAGAAAATGCAGTAATACAATGCAACAATGCAATAGAATCTGCAACTGCTCTAACTGAATATTAGTGTGTGTGTGTGTGTGTGTGTTTGTGCTTGTTTGTCTTGCATCCCACTGGTGACGGATATGGCCCTCCTGGAGTGCAGGCCTCATGGGCCAACAGAGAAGTCTACAAATCTTAGGGTGCTTTCACACCTTTAGTACAGTTCATTTGGTCCAAACCAAGGTTATTATCGTAAACAAAGACAAATGAAATAACAAAAACTAGATTCGAAAACTAAAAACACATTGTAGGTTTGCAAAATTAACTAAAACTAACTAAATTAAAAGAGTAAATGTGCTTAGTTTTCGCCACATTTCAGTTGGATATGAAGCCGGGGGAACTGACGTTGCGTCTAGTAGGACCGACAGTTCAGAGGTGTGCGCAGTGATTAGCAAATAGCAAAGTCTGATAAGAACCCGTGGGTGAGCCACGGCTGTGTTATGCTTTTGCCCTCTGCGTGAAGAGCTGGCACACTGCGAGTCCAGGGTCAGGGCAGCATCTGGCCGCACCGTAACAGGTGACGGGTCTGAGCTGACCACGTAGTCTCCGAACACAAGACAAATCAGGGCTGGATAGAACATATGTATGTTTGTTTGTCATTTGGTCAAGACAGAAACCATTTTTATAAGACACATTTGGCAGAAGTTGTGATTCATTTACATTCTTTTCATCGCCTATACAGACTATCAGAAATATAAAACACTTTTAAAGGTAGTTCAAACACTTGAATGACAGTTTCATTTAATGTGTATTAAATAACATTTTACTCTTGTTATCCTGCTCTTCAATTCCAAAAGCATTGAGCAGGGTGTGGTTACCAGCCAACTATCCCTGATTGTGGCAAACATCTACATGGAAGAAGTGGAGAATAAAGCTGGAAGTGCAAGCCTTCACAGAACACATCAACTCTGTGGACAGTAACATCAAGTTCACATGAGAAGATGTTCACAACAACAGTTTGGCCTTCCTGGACTGTACTGTACACATTAAAGAGGACAGGAGCCTGCAGATTGGTGTTTACAGAAAACCCACACACACAGCCCAATACCTACTCTTCGATTCACAAAACCCACTGGAGCACAAGCTAGGGGTCATGAGAACACTGCACCACAGAGCGGGAAACATACCAACAAGCGCCCAAGCCAGAGAGAAGGAACAGAACCACCTGAAGGGGGCACTTACAGCCTGTGGATACCCTAAATGGACCTTTGTGAAAACAGCCACAAGATCCAAGAAGAACAAAACTACAGGGGAGGAGGAAAAGAAGGTCAAACGCAACAACATTGTGATTCCATACGTGTCTGGAGTATCAGAGAAACTCAGGAGGATTTTTAACAAACATAACATCCCTGTGTTTTTTAAACCCAAGAACACACTAAGACAGATGCTGGTACACCCCAAAGACCGCACACCCAAACACAAGAAAAGCAATCTAGTGTATGCGGTCCAATGCAGTGAGGAATGCACAGACCTGTATATTGGGGAGACTAAACAACCACTACACAAACGCATGGCTCAACACAGAAGGGCCAACTCCTCAGGTCAAGACTCTGCAGTCTACTTACATCTGAAGGACAGAGGACACTCGTTTGAGGACCACCAGGTGCACATTTTAGACAGAGAAGATGGATGGTTTGAAAGAGGTGTCAAGGAAGCCATCTACACCAGGGTTGAGAAGCCGTCATTGAACAGGGGAGGGGGTCTACGCCACCACTTATCCCCAACTTACAATGCTGTCCTTTCATCACTTCCCAGGAAACTCAACAAACGTAAACTATTGGCCTCAGGTGAAGATACCAACGATGGTCGTTCAGTCTTGGCCACAGGTAGTCCTAACGACCGTAACGACTGTCGTCACAGCAACAAGGAACACTAACGAACCAGCGGTATCGATGACCCGGGATAACGATCCCACTGAGGTTAAATAGCTGAGTTTCCCTGCCAGTCAGTCAGAACTGAAGAAGTCCTTTGGATGAGGGACAAAAGTCTTCCAGTATCTTCAACCAAGTCCAGTTGCCCTTGATTTTAACCTTTGTTGGATAACTAAAACTGTATTTTAGTTTCGCAAAACTAACTAATACTAAGTAAAATTAAAGAGTATATGTCCTTAGTTTTTGTTTATTTATTTATTTCTAATAGGGCCGAAGCCTACATTTCGGGTGGATATGAATCCGGGGGAACTGACGTTGCGGGGCCGTCTGGCCGGTGTGACAGTTTAAATGGTGGCAAAATTAACTGGTGACAGTCCCAGATGTGTCGCAGGCGTGGCTCCAGGATCCATTGACTGCTATATATTGTCTGGCTACAGTAACACCATTCGCTCACATTTTATTTGTAATCTCTGTTCTGCTTTCACACCAGTTGTGGCCACATGCACCTACATTGTATAGCCTACACCATTCTCAGCTGATAATAGTTTCTGCACCTCTGCCTCCAACTTGTGTGTGTGTTTGCTAAATGAGTGAGTGAGATAAGACATGAGCGACGGTAGATACAGCTGTTGTATCACAAGTTACCATGACCACAGCTGACTCCACGCTGTGTTCGGGGGGAGTGTAGCCTAAACATCCAGACTGTTTCCCTTACAGGCTGCATGACAAACTGTTCATCTCACAGCAACTCGACAATGTTGGTAACGATTGCAAAGAGAGCAGAATATAAACTTGATCGATGGTACGAAGCTCCGTAAATGTTTTCCATTATCTTTTATACATACACTCACCTAAAGGATTATTAGGAACACCTGTTCAATTTCTCATTAATGCAATTATCTAATCAACCAATCACATGGCAGTTGCTTCAATGCATTTAGGGGTGTGGTCCTGGTCAAGACAATCTCCTAAACTCCGAACTGAATGTCAGAAAGGGAAGGAAAGGTGATTTAAGCAATTTTGAGCGTAGCATGGTTGTTGGTGCCAGACTGGCCGGTCTGAGTATTTCACAATCTGCTCAGTTACTGGGATTTTCACACACAACCATTTCTAGGGTTTGAGTCTGACAGAGTCACTTAAAGGGGAGCTGAAGTCTCGTCTTGAAACACTTGTCTGATACTGACACTGGTACGATCCTTCGTTATCAAAGTTCACTTTAGGTATAATGAAGGTAGCAGAGTTGGTACTTGATGTTTGGGTCTTTCTGAATGAGCCTGAGGTCTGCTGCAGGAGGAATGTTCCGTCTAAATGCTGAGTTGAGATCGAACAAGTGATGCTGACGTCCTGAACCCAGGTAACCTCACCAGCAGGTTTCATGGAGATGCTGGGCTTTGTTTCTGTTTCTGTTTCCTGGGAAGTGATGAAAGGACAGCATCTGTTTCTGTTTTCTGTTTATTTTAATGATAGGAAGTTTTTTCAATGGAAAAATTGGCCTTAAGAGACTTCTGTTCTATACAATACAACAACCCTGCTATACAAAAAAGCTACTTTTCAAATGAAATTTTGGAAAATCTGTCTTACCAAGGGCCAAATAGCGAAGGTTCCTCTGCTGTATGCTCCCCATAGCTGACATGATGGCTGCTCTGTGTCAATTATCAGTACCAGCACAGATGAACCCTGGTGCACAAAAACATTACACACAGCTTGTCCTTCCTGAAATACTTCCTGTTTCTGGTGTTTTTTTAGTACTAAAAGTCAGTAACTCTAAACCACCAACCAAAACCTGCAGCACTGAAGCACCACATCTATGACTAGCTCTGGATCTTGAAAAGGTTGTTGATAACCACAAAGATCCAAATGCTGCCTGCTTTATCTCCTCCTGATATGTTTCCATTTTGTGCATAAGGGGAACAAAACTCACCTCCACATTCTTTTCATTGCCTATACAGACTATCAGAAATATATATATATATAGCTGTACACATTAAAGAGGACAGGAGCCTGCAGATTGGTGTTTACAGAAAACCCACACACACAGACCAATACCTACTCTTTGATTCACAAAACCCACTGGAGCACAAGCTAGGGGTCATGAGAACACTGCACCACAGAGCGGAAAACATACCAACAAGCGCCCAAGCCAGAGAGAAGGAACAGAACCACCTGAAGGGGGCACTTACAGCCTGTGGATACCCTAAATGGACCTTTGTGAAAACAGCCACAAGATCCAAGAAGAACAAAACTACAGGGGAGGAAAAGAAGGTCAAACGCAACAACATTGTGATTCCGTACGTGTCTGGAGTATCAGAGAAACTCAGGAGGATTTTCAACAAACACAACATCCCTGTGTTTTTTAAACCCAAGAACATTACACGCATTACAAAAAGTACAAGGGCAAAATTCGAAAGAAAATCCTTAATTTCATAAATACGTTTTAACGCTTGCTTGAGTTGGCTTTTGCCTTTGTTACTGCACGAAATGGGAGATGGAAACAATTTTTCCAAATAAGTTCTGATGTAGCGAACTTGTAACTCACGTCTGATCAGCGCTTTCTGCTGTCGGCGTCTTGCCCGGTTGTGCAGATTTCTGTATGCTTGCCAAGAATTTCACGCACCTTGCGGATGCTCACGCTCATTTGTGCTGAGAAAAGAGGTAGATGCAAATCTTGGCAGGTAGCCTTCATCATCTGTTCTGCCGAATTATGCATTCACCTCTTTAAGGTCCTTTTCAGATACTTTACTCTGCACACTCATCAAACGGGGTTATCACCACATATTTTTGCAGAATCTCAGTGAATGCTAGAATACTAATACTGAGTGTGATAAAATATTAACAACTCTAAACGATCATAAAATATATACTTCGAATCATTTATCACAACTGATGAACCCCACAAAGGATATTATAGCGTTAAAAAACATTTGGAGGTGCATGCAATTCTCGGCAGGCATGCAAAACTCTGCATAACACCAGATATTCCCATAACGTGCAGAGACATGGCAGGCAGCAGCTTGCCCACTTGAAACACATTTCTGAGGACCTCTCCATTTTTCTAAGATCAATGGCCATCTGGTTCATGCGACTGGTTTTGTTTCTGGTTTGGAACCCATATGTTGTTTGTTACAGCCATGTGTAACGTCAACTACTGACGTAACTTAACTTGCCATAGCCTGGTTTATTCGCTCCAAACCAGCTAAAGGAAATGCACCTATTTTGCAATATCTTTTTTGTCCTTTTTTTTGTAACATTTCAAAAGTACGCGTAAAATTCGCATGACAATTAGATGGAAACATGGCTAGTGTGGTGCGAAAAGGAACTGAAATGGCTGAGAAATGCTACAATGCATTATTTTTTACCCTTGGTGCAGACCAAGGTTATTATAGTTTTGGATTTTTAGTAGTTTTTATTTTTATTTCGTTTTGTCTTTTTGTTTTGAATTTCAGTTTAGTTTTAATTAGTTTTTAACGTGGGTTTGCTAGTTTGGTTTAGTTTTTATTTTGGGAAAATGCTTAGTTTTAGTTTAGTTTTTATTAGTTTTAGTGTTATTTTAGTCTTTGTCACTCCACGATGCCAAGCTCAGTTCAGCTGAGTTCAGTCCAGTTTAGTTTTTTCACAAAACATTAAAATACAAGTACAATCAGAAATATTTGTGAAAAGGGACACCATTTCTCAATCTGAAGCGCGTACGTAGGGGCCCAAACACTAAAGAAATATATATTTGAAGTACTAACACATTGTCTAAATAAATACTACAAATAAATGAAGCACATGCAATCTACAGTATAATTTCCAACCTATAAACAGAAAACCCTAAGAGCAAACTACCCTAATCCTAATACCCAGTGGTCCCAAGAAATTCATTACATCAGTATCTATGTGAGAGGTAAACTGCTGGTCAGCAGATTGTTCAATTCTTCAGAATATAGTTTGTGTTATAACAGAGTGTAAGGGACCCCACAATTTATTATTATATTATATTATTAAGTTTTCTATTCAATTTCAAAATTGTATATGTAGTTGGGTTGTTTTTCCTGAATACATCCTGATAAATGTGTGCTACAATGTCATTCAATGCTCAAAAGCAGTAGGATGTATTGAAAGGTGCTGCACAGTTGTCACCACCGGGTAGCGTTGGTGAGTGAGCATCGATTCATAGTAGTAGATGAAGAGCTATCATATCGGTCTCTGTTTTTTTTTTATTCCCCGTGATCACGAAGAGTTACAAGAAGACACTATTAGCTTTAGGCAGCCGAGAAGTTTACAGACAGGTAAAGGTTGTTGTACATTGCTAAATCTTGTGGAAGACCGCAATAAAACCCCACTACAAGTTCTCAAGCGCCTGTCTGTGGTTCCTGGCTGCAAAATCTAGCGCTATCATTCTTGGTTAAATAGGTGAAATACAATAAATGGAGGTGAAATACAATTGATGAACAGCTAACAAACACAGGTCCCTAGCACCCTGAAGGCAAGTAAGACTGGAAAGCAGTTAGGCTACATTAAAATGTAAACCTATATTAATCAAAAAATGATTCTATGTTAAAAGCACAAAGAGACAGGTTGGCTGAGATATTAGTGAGCCCATAAAACACACACTAGCTGACATGCAGTAAATATAATGACCAGCAGAAACATTAACACAGCACAAGGGGAGCTCACAGTCAGTAGGCTAGGGGCAAATTCATCTCACATGCAAGGTGAGCTCTAAGCCAGACCATCAGAACAGAACAGAACAAGGAAAAGACAACCACCAAGACAGTGACTCACTAAGTTACCTGCAACCCAAACTAAACTAAACACAACTCTGTTGTTGTTGTCAACTGTACAGTTGTTCATATTATTTTGGATACATGTAATCTATGTATAAAAGATAATGGAAAACATTTTCAGGTCCCACCAACTACGCAGCTGATCCGTACCTGGTTCTCCCTGGCTAAGTTAGCCTCCCCCTAACGTTACATGGGGCTCTCCTCTGAACAGCGGTCGCCATCTGCTACGCTGCGTAAATGTAGTTTGCAGGCTACATCGTTAACTGCACGATGATTCACAGAGACGTCTCCCACCTGCAAATTGAGGACTTTGAGCGTGATCATGGAGGTGACTGTGTCGCTGTTCAAAACACTGCAAAACGTCAGTAAACTGTCCAAATCTTCATGTTTTCTGTCTGATTTATGCCATGGTCGGTTTTAAAGTGTTCTTACTTACATATTGGAAACAGGCTGAGGTGTTTGATGTTCAGATGGACCGATAAGTGGAGACCGCTAGGTGGATAAGTGGATAAGGACAGATAACTGGAGACTAATGGAGATCATTGGTACGCAGCTTCGTACCATCGATCAAGTTTATATTCTGCTCTCTTTGCAATCGTTACCAACATTGTCGAGTTGCTGTGAGATGAACAGTTTGTCATGCAGCCTGTAAGGGAAACAGTCTGGATGTTTAGGCTACACTCCCCCCGAACACAGCGTGGAGTCAGCTGTGGTCATGGTAACTTGTGATACAACAGCTGTATCTACCGTCGCTCATGTCTTATCTCACTCACTCATTTAGCAAACACACACACAAGTTGGAGGCAGAGGTGCAGAAACTATTATCAGCTGAGAATGGTGTAGGCTATACAATGTAGGTGCATGTGGCCACAACTGGTGTGAAAGCAGAACAGAGATTACAAATAAAATGTGAGCGAATGGTGTTACTGTAGCCAGACAATATATAGCAGTCAATGGATCCTGGAGCCACGCCTGCGACTCATCTGGGACTGTCACCAGTTAATTTTGCCACCATTTAAACTGTCACACCGGCCAGACGGCCCCGCAACGTCAGTTCCCCCGGATTCATATCCAACCGAAATGTAGGCTTCGGCCCTATTAGAAATAAATAAATAAACAAAAACTAAGGACATATACTCTTTAATTTTACTTAGTATTAGTTAGTTTTGCGAAACTAAAATACAGTTTTAGTTATCCAACAAAGGTTAAAATCAAGGGCAACTGGACTTGGTTGAAGATACTGGAAGACGTTTCGTCCCTCATCCAAAGGACTTCTTCAGTTCTGACTGACTGGCAGGGAAACTCAGCTATTTAACCTCAGTGGGCTCGTTGGCCCGGGTCATCGATACCGCTGGTTCGTTAGTGTTCCTTGTTGCTGTGACGACAGTTGTTACAGTCGTTAGGACTACCTGTGGCCAAGACTGAACGACCATCGTTGGTATCTTCACCTGAGGCCAATAGGTTACGTTTGTTGAGTTTCCTGGGAAGTGATGAAAGGACAGCATTGTAAGTGGGGGATAAGTGGTGGCGTAGACCCCCTCCCCTGTTC